CCAAGGATGCAACTGAAAATACCAGACATCACGAACAGACGGAACACACAAAAGGCTTATTTCGACAAAGTACAGAAGCTGTACACTGTAATGAAAGATATGGGTAATCCATGTATGGAAGAGTCTGAGGCTCTTTTAACACTGGATACGAAAAGTATTGCCCATCCTTGTGCTGCTGAAAAGGTTGCTTCTCATTATGATAAAGGTAAAATTCGCTTCAATGAGTTCTTGAAAGGGCTGAATAAAGAGTAGTGTTCATATTATCAGTCAATAAAAAAGAACAAGACAGATTTCTTTCGGCAAAAGCCAGAACCGAAAGCGGGTGTTTCAAAGGTAGAACACTTAAAGGACGAAAGTCGTCTGTTCTCTACACTTTTTATATCCTGCCAGTCTAAAGAATGTGACCTGAAGGATTTTTTTCAGCATGAGAATCAATCTTTTCCCGCTGCACTGAGTGATAATGGTAATCTTCACAGCTGTCAGAAATCGCAGCTTGCGACAATTCTGGAGACTACATTTACTCCTCCTGATACTGAGCCAGAAGCTGACGTCAAAGTTTTGGACGGATCGGCTTTAATCAATTCATTGCCTCCGATGATATCCAGGACGTTTGAAGAATATGCAGAACTAGAGGTAGTCCCAAAAGTACAAGCATATAGTTGTACTTATACGAGAACAGATACTAGAAATAGAGAGTGTTGTGTTTGACGTATACTGGTCACCTAGTTTAAAAGCTGAAACACGATCAAAGCGAGGAATAGGAGCTAGACGCAGAGTGACTGACAAAGGTAAAACCCCACAAAATTGGATTAGCTTCATGAGAGACAACATCAACAAGCCTGAGCTATTCAAATTTCTCGCAGATAAAGTTGTGAAGATGGTCCAAATAATACAGTTATAGTCACTCAAGAAGAGGGTTTTGTCTGCAATCAGTCAGTAAGTCTTGAAGGACTCGGACACTGCAATCATGAGGAAGCAGACACACGAATCTTCTTGCATGCAAAACACGCTGCAGCAGATGGTAACAAAAGCATTATGTTAAAAGCAAACAACACAGATGTTCTTGTCATTGCGGTCAGTGTTCTGCCCATTCTGCAGCTTCTTGGTGTAGAAAAAATGTGGATCGCATTTGGACAAAACTTGAAGGGGATTCCCATACATGATATAAGGACGTCAATTGACCAAGAGAAGTCCAAGGGCCTTCTCCTTTTCCACGCTTTTACTGGCTGCGATGTCGTATCTGCATTCCATGGTAAAGGGGAAAAAATCTAGAGTGCATGGCAAACATGGAGTGTATGCCCTGTGGCTTCTTCTGTTTTTATAAAACTCAGTCAGTACCCACCAACAATTGACAAAGAAGATCCCATTATTCTTGAGAGGTTCGTAGTTACTATGTATGACAGGTCTAGTGCTGTTGACAGTATTGATGAAGCAAGGCTCGAAAACAGAGGTCATATGAATCAATTCCTCCAACCCAAGCAGCTCTTTTCCAACATGTTAAGCGTGCTGCATACCAAGCAGGTTGCATATGGGGCCAATCAACTATATGTCAAATGGAAGCCCTGCTGACTGGGGTTGGAAAAAGCAAGATGACATGTGGCAAATCTTTGTGACATCACATCCGCCAATTGCTCAAAGTTGCCTACAGCTAAGTGTGGCTGCACAACTGAATGTCGTGACAGGTGCAAGTGTTATCGATTTAGTCTCCCTTGTACAGCTCTGTGTAAATGCAATTGTGAAGGCTAGAATATATTCATAGACTGAACTATTTTTTTTTGTCAATTTGAACGAGAAAAGAAAAGAAAAAATGAAAAAATAAATAAAATAATAATAATAATAAAACTAATTAAATCTGCTGGACTATTAGGAGCGTTGTCGGATCTCCCCTGCGTAGTCAAAGATGGTTAGTATTTGTCTCATGTGAAAAAGGACGAAAACACCGTAAATATTATTTAAAATACCATCATTCCAGTCCATGTTCAAATGAAAAATAATTATTTTAGCACAAGCTATTCCAACAAATCAACGCCTTCCTTCCTTTTTTTACGTCCAATCCTTGCGTCCTTGTATTTTCCTTACATTGTACTACCAGAGTAAACCTATTTTTGCCAATCTTGGTACATAAAAAAGCCTAAGGACAATTAAATATAAATCTTCAAATTTTACTTTAATATCTTAAATACTGAAAATACATAGTGTTCAGAATAGTTGACGACAAAACAAAATTGTGCTTACAAAATATCAAAACAAAAAACGTGAAAATTGCAAGATGTTTCTCAAATGGTTTGGAAATTGACCAGCTGATCAGACTATCAGGTTAAAAGGCCATACATGTATTGTAAGTTAAGAACAATCCATGGCCTTTCCAAAACGTCGTTAAAGATTGTTGGTGGTTCTTACCATGCAGCATCTCTTAGAGAAATGTGACAATTACAAAGAACATATTAACTTTACATAACCAGATGAAAGATGGTTGAATCTTCATTTCTATTTTTACAGATTTGTTTGCCGAGACAAGACTAGGAATTTAGCATTGTGATATATATAATAATCTAAAGAAAAGATGTAAGGATACCTCGGTAGCATTTGAGTTCGCAAAACAAAATCACATCCAGATGAATCTTGTTTCAGTTAACATAGGAAATAATTGTTCGAAACAAATGTCATTCTATATGTTTCTATCTAAATGTGACATAACCTGTGCAGGTTCTGGCCTTCGTAAGAGGCGACTAATGTGAAAACGTTTTCGGAATAGGTGGTTTACTATGTCTCCGGCTATTGTAGAAGCAAGCAATGAACCTGCTTTATCCCACTGCATGATCGTAAGAGGCGATTTATGTTCGAATCTCTACAGAATTGGTGGCTTACTGTGTCTCCTGCTTTTGTAGAAACAAACGATGGACCTGTTGTATACCACTTCATGATCGTAAGATGCTCCTAGTTTTTCCTCTGCGTGTCCTGTTCAGGGGACATGTCAGACAAACATTTGATTCGCTGCCCCCATTACAATATTTTGGATCTCTATCTGTTATCCCTGCTCTTGTCTAATCTTCTTTTGGCTGGTTTCTCTAGACAGCCGTCTTTGTATTAATTATTTTAAATTCAATTCACGAAGATAGCCACTCGCGAAATTAAACATCTCGCGAATGTTTTAACAACTGCGCTACAAAGTCAAATCCTTGCAGTTAGTTAAATAATTTGAACTGTGTGTAATTCGAAGTAAACAATGGTGAAATACATTTTAAATAATTATAAATGAATTAAAGGAACTCGCATTTAAATTTTGTTATCCACTCTCCTTTTCATGAACATCACTTCCAACGCCATGAGTGGCTAGTACATCTGTACTTTAGCAACTCGTCGTTTTTGGACATCCACCTCCTCATTCAGTCAAAATACCCCTTACCTACAGAAGATCCTGATTTGTAATTGCTGCCCATTAAAAAACCTCACATTTCTCTAGACGGATGGGATTATGTAGCTTGCGAACACTTTTCATAAAAATTAATGAATGCTGCCATTTCGCCATTCTACATTATCAAACATGATATCTTCGGAATTAGCGAAGCACAAGGGACCGTGGTAGCTGGCCTCGTTTTGAACTAATATGATCTGTCTAGCTGCACAAAGAGCTATCGGGGACATAATACTTATCAGCTGGACGCTCAGTTATCGTAAAAATGCCAGTCTGTCACCTGCGGTCACCAAGGGGGCAGATTAGTGATTGCTATTTTACAGTTAATGTAAATTGCACGACTTGCGATGCCGCCATTTTGATTTGGTAGTTACGTGGATCCATTACGCAGATATAAATCTCCCCGATAGGTCTGAGTTACGAGTAAACAGTTCGATTGAGCGAGAGTAATTGCCCCTGTTCTGTACGTCAACAATTTTATCTGCCAGCTTGTAGCTGTTATTAACTTAATCCATTCATCTTTTTATTTCTAAAATGTTTATTTTGGTTTTGAAAACACCCTTGTTTTCGTATTTATTCTTCAATCCGTGCTGTCACGAAACTGTGCGATCTCAATCCGAAATTCGCTGTTCAGGGGAAATGACAAAAAAATACCCGTATGCATCGTTTGTTTGGAATCAGCTATAAATAGAAGTGCGAAATCGTGGGCGCCGAGATCGAGGTTTCAGAAATCATTGAATCAGATTTTAACGTCACTAAGACTCAAGATTATACAACAAATGATAATAAAGTTAAGAAAATAAGGCAAGTATAATCACCATGTGATTAGCTTCCGATTACTGCTCCGGAGACGCTAGGAGCTTCTGTCACGATTATTTTTAAAGTTCGTGGGAGGTTTCGTAGGAGATATTTGATATATAATGTCCAGACCGTGTAAGAGATTAGTTGATAACATAAGACTCGACAGTTCTCGACCACAAAGTATAATCACTATATAGTTATCGGGCCCTGGTCATCACATGCAAGTCAAAAGTTCACTCGGCCCCGAACCTGGCAGGCTAAATTCTATTCTATAGCTACCATAGTAAATCACTTCATTCATGTATATCGGAATCTTTGTAATTCCGCTCAATTCAAACAATGGTAAACAAATATCACAGAATATTGTTATTATGCTATTCAACAAGTTTTTTTTTTTTTACATGTAATATGGGACATAACCCGGAGCTGTCACGAGACCTTTCCGACTTTCATCCATGCTGTAATTTACTCAAAGAGTCCGGGAAACTAGATTGTATAAAAAACACTATAGTTAGGATCGTACATCCAGGAAAAAGGACTCAATTCGATTCTTGACAAGCGGGGCTTGGCCCTTCAGAAAATCATGCTTTCATGATTTTCTATGTATGTTGTAAACCGGTTGTTTTACCCTGATCACATTTGGAAGTAATCGTAGCGTCTCGGCTAACTCCCCAACAAGACTTAATCCGATTCCGCGCTTTCTCGGAGATGGACGTTGTGACCGACTCGGGTGTTGTTAAAGAGTTTTGAATATACATGTATGGCAACCAAAATTCCCTCTTACCTTGACCAGGACCACTGTTAGGGAGTAAGATATCAAAGCTCGAAAACCGTATGTTGGCCCTGTTCTTGAAACAATCCTCTAGTCTGCACGCGGAAACATTGGAAACAATTTCATCCGGGTCAGAGGTCGGAGGTCATGGTCGAAATAAACCTGAACCTGAAAACAATAAATAATGACACAAACTACTATGTTTTGCCTATAGCGTATCTACATTGTTCATCACATACATGTAGGTAGTAAAATATCCGGTTCAAAATGGCATACATTGGGGTGGTCGTGTGACGTAGTAGATTACAAACTCGCCTTTCACAAAGACGACCGGGGTTCGACTCCCCGATCAGATGTGAAGAGGCAATGGGTTTCCTGTCCGAATACGTGGGTTTATCCCGGGTACTCCGGTTTACTCCCACTTACAGACCACCCGCGCGCTAACATCCGGGTCAACAAGAATGATCAATATAAGTTGTACTTGTTACATACTTTTTTAAAACGACATAAAGTTTATATATATATATGGCATTCCTATCTTTCACCTAAAATGCTTTCATCTGAAAAGCTTAAGCTTTGAATGTACATACGATACTGTAATTGGTCGTATTTTACCAATATTTCCAATTTTCTTTAGATAAATTATATTTTTGATGTCTGCCATTTCGATTTCATTCAACTGTTCTGAGAAAACATGTTGGTTCGAAATCTTGAAAGTGATGTATTTATGGTAGTGTCACCTTGCGCAGATGTTGAACAAATGATAACCGGCTTGACGGGTAATGCGCTTTTTATACCCAGGGAGAACCTTACTCGTTACCAAGCAAGTACAAACTAAAATATTAGCGCTTCCTTAGATGCGAAAGCTGGAAGAAACAGCCATTGGGGAACATCTCAAAACCAGAAAATAAACTTTAAAAAAAAATCTCAATTGAAAGCTTTTTAACTGGCAGTGACAGCTTTAAGTTAAAGATTTTAAATAACGCAACAAAAGGATTTTATAAGACATCTTTTCCCTTTCGAGGTATTTTTTACATGTGTTTCGGAACATTTCAGACCAAGACTTTTCATCATTTTGACCTTAAGTATCACTGATGAATCCTAAATGGACAAAATAGCCATATGCATCCTCGCTAGCCAAGGGTTACGATCCGGTACGATCTACCTACTCTTCACTAACCCTTGGCTAGCGAGGATGGGCCATATGGTGCAGCAAATGTTAGCTTTGTTCAGCTTTCTGCATCGGCAACAACTAAATCTTGAATAGATGATTCCTTACTATCTATTTCTAATGGCTATCCATACGCCCTTACCTCGAAAACTACTATTTGCTTAGAATTAAGGCCACCAAGTTCATTGGCCATCTGAAATAACCAACACTGGCCTTCAGAAGGATCAGGTGGACTATGATCGAAGCATTTAGACTAACGAGCAATATCTGTGATAGCAAGGCAGCGGGTTTTCTTAAACGCTGGAACGACAAGGTCCAAAGACAGGGGACAAGGTCCAAAGACAGGGGACAAGGTTCAAAGACAGGGGACAAGGTCCAAAGACAGGGGACAAGGTCCAAAGACAGGAGACAAGAAGACCTTCGAAAAAGATGTTTCTACAGCATTATAAACTGGATATCAGGGAAAAAAACGTTTTGACTCGGCACCAACAGTTAATTCTTTCAAAAACAGATTAAATAAGTATTTGGATTTTTTTTATTTTTTTTTATATAATTGTAAGTCCGAAATTCAATAGAAATTGGAACAGTTGTCACAATTTATTTATTTAATGTATTGCTATTATTGTATATTTGAGTCCGGTGTAGAGGATCTTAAATGATCCTGTACCGGTATAATAAACTTAGCTTAAGATCTGGTAATCCAAATTAGATAAGAACTCGGAATAACATCGCCGGCGAAACCGGATTAATGTTTACTTAATAATCCGGATCCGACACTCCGCAAAACTTCCTCTCCGGATCGATCGTAAAATATAAATAATCATTACTTCAATATCCTTTCTGATACAACTATTTAAAAAAACAGAAAACTTTCTTTTTTCATTTTTTCAGTGGTCCCTTTAACCCAGTTTTTGTATCAAATAAGCAAAAGAAAATATGCAAGGGACCCTTATTCTTTTTATTTTTTCTCTCACATATTCCCATGTGTAAGCATTTGAATCACTAGCTTTTGACACTAATTTTGAAAATGATAACACTTTCATTGTTTTGACAGTTTGAATGCTATTAAAACTGGAGTACATATTACGTTAATCAAAACCTTGCTCAACTTCTGTCGTACATATTGATTGATTAATGGGGAATAACGTCCTTATTTTGGTTATAAAATGACACTATCGTGGGATTTTTATTGTATTACAGTACCTTCAATTACATGTACCTGCTTGCGAGATCGATGATTGTCGATGGGTAAAGGGGTGAATGGAGTGCTTGCCTCTGGCCGTCTGTTGTTTCGAACTTAACGCCCCCGTGTCAACGACACTGTTGACAGAGATACGGGATCGGAATTAGAATAAATGGTTTGACAGATTATATTTAGATGAACGTATCTGACAGTAACACGTATTAGATTTGCGTAAATTGTGTTAATCGTATCTTTATCTAGCAAAATATGGAAAAAATGTCACAAAATTAGAAACGTGCAGCGACCCGAGGGACCTCTGTTAAAGGTCACTTTAGCTGTTTGGTGGTAATGATGCCCGCAGGAATAGACGGACATAGTCCAAATTTTGCTGACATCTATTTTTTTTTTATAAAACCATCCATAGATGGATTCTGCGATAGGCTTTTTTAGTTTCCGGTTTCAAACCATTCTAATTGAACTGCAATCGTTGGTCGGGTGGCGAAGTGGAGAGAGCACTTGCCTTTCACGAAGACGACCGGAGTTCGATTCCGCGATCGGAGGTGAAAAGGTATTAGGTCACCTGCCCGACCACGTTGGATTGCTCCGGGTATTCGAGTTTCCTCCCACAATTAGACCCTCCGCGTGCTTTCATTCGGGCAAAGAAAAGTGATTAATATAAGCTGGAAAACGCAGGTATATTGGTGTGCTTGCCTCCATGCGATAGCGCGGATCTGATGCCGACTTTAGAGTGCTACCTCACTGAAATACCATGCCGAAGGCACTCAAGTATTTCACCTGGTCACATTACCTTAAATGCTGAACGTTAAACAGGAAATAACAACTACCACTCAGACCACTCTTATATGGACTTTGATACACATACATGTATGTCAAAGCTAGGAACAGAACCCATTGCCTTTCTCACCAGGGCGAACGTTAAAATCTAAAACCAAAATTGAGGTATTACCAAGCAAAGAGCTAGGAAACAAAATTTAGCTAGAGGTAGAGACAAATTATAAAGATCCCAAATTTTGCAATGGGTGCAGCAGACTTATAAATGACACGAAAGCGAATCCCAAAACATACAACATGAAACGTGAGCAATACATGCAGCATGTACATGCTTCTCTCAATCCCCGAGCAGAAAGCTAAGGGTGTATTGTTTTTGGATGTTACCAACCACATTATCATACGGTGACGTTTTTTTACATTAAAGTCTACAAATAAGTAATAACCACTCTACCAATAGCAAGACATGTGTCTGTGTATGACACACAATGTCCCGCTCCCACACTTAAGAATGAAAGCAAGGTCACATGGGTAAGGGTCAAAGTCAAGGTCACAAAAATGTCGTGTAACATGCATGTTCTTGTTATAAAGACACATACACCTATAAATTCGTGTGATCTGAACTGCAGCATTTTGACCATAACTGACCTAAACGTGAAAACATAAGGTAGCACGTGCCCCGCACCACTTCATTACTATTAATTACAGGATACTTTTTTCCGTCACTATGGCTAGACTTTTTTTAAGGATCCCCGTACCACTGCCAAAAACTCTTAACTATGCATTGCTATTTGTCCATGAAAAAAGCTTACGATAAAACAATTAAAGATGAAATAAATATAAAAACGTCAACAACAGTTTTGTGTTTTAGCGCTAACCAACTGAATTACCTGGTAGACGGTAGTACCCCGGCTCAGTCATGCTACAGTTATATAAAACTAGACTAAAACAAGACATAAATGCCCCTGCTGCCATGTGAAATTAGTTTCAGTGTTCTATAAAAAGTTACAACCACTTTGATCTTGATACCCTGAAACATGCACACACACAAGGTGGTACTACACTTAAAGTTGATAAGTTGATTTTAATATTCATATGGTTTTTTTTCTGTATGTTATTACCATCTCCATAACATATTGAATGAAGTTGCTAAGTGTTGAAATTGAATCAGATAATGATTTTCTATATATAGCAAGTGTAACCTTGGCCTTTGACCTTGGAACCCTGAAACACAACGATGTCCGAAGTATACTCATACTTGACATTTGTATAAAGTTTGACCAAAATCTGTGAAAGAATGGAGTTGCTAAGTGTTTACATTGAATCGGGACGCGACGCGACGGGACGGGACAGGACGGACATGGGCAACAATATATGCCCCCCCCCCCCCCCCCCCCCCCCATTGTATGGCGGGGGCGTACACATGAAATTAAGTGGTGGTAACTATATGTTGAATTCTTCAGTATGCTGCGGTGGGACAAGGATACTTAAAATTCATATTTATTTAATCAATTAAGAAATTCCGAGAGGTATCAAATTAAAATCAATTGTAGTAATTGACGAAGACATTAATCAGCATTATATGTACGTTAGTGGTAAATATTACCAAGTTCAAAGGCAAAACATATTGTTATTAAATTATGTCTTAACGACCCATTGCCATAACAGGGCCCCACGGTAGAAAAAATTGGCAACGGTAGGGCTGTGTCAAAAAAGTCACGAATGCAAAGTAAGTCGTAGAAACGGGGTTAGAAACGAAAGTATAGAAAAAAATTGATCTGTTACAATGTCTGCAGAAAATTCACTGATTTATTAATGTCTCTTTAAATTTCCATTAGCAGAAAAAAAAAACGAAACAAAATTACTTGTGTAAACAGAGATTTTTTTTTTTTATTGAAAACGTCTTTTTAAAAAAGACTTGAACAAATATCTCAAAATAGTGACAACGGTAATGATATAGTTTAACATGGTGGTAGTACCAGGTACTCTTTAACTTACAGCCAAATTAAGAAGATGTAGAATTAT